AGATAGCCGGTACAGGCTTTGGCCATATAGGAATATCTTCTATGAAATGTCTTAACTATTCTGCTTTTTCTCCTGCTTTGTCTAAAGCAATAAATTCAAATTCCATAGTAGATCGAGCTATACACGTTTGCTTAGAAGATTTCCATGATATAGCGCCACCACCGAGAGTAAATACATAGCCACTGGTAGACTTTGACTCGTCTGTATCTGATATCCAATTGGCATCACTATATCCTTCAATTACTGGAGGATATTTTCCATAATGTAATGAATACTCTCTGGTCCGTTTCAAGTATCCCAAAACTCTAAGTAATGCATCCCAATGTTGATTACTTGGATTACTTGTGTAACGACTCAGCTTACTTACCGAGTAAGCTATATCAGGTCTTGTACAGTTCATCAGGTACATTAAACTACCAATAATTTAGGAATATTCTAACTGCTGTTTCCCATTTCCACTATTTTTGTGAAGAACTATATGTGGAAGAAATGGGTTACTCGTCTTTAATATAATGAGTCTTAAACCTCTCAATTATTTGATCAACATAATGGGTTTGAGATAAGACTATTCCATTTGATGTTCTAGATAACTTTATTCCTAGAATCACGTCTGCTTCACCCATATCTTTCATGTCAAAGTTATTGGTAAGTATATTCATTGTTCTATTGATGACTTCTATATTAGTCCCTAATATAAGCATGTCATCAACATACAAACAGACGAGTACGTATGCCTTTTCGATTTTTTTCGAATATACGCATTTGTCACATCCATTTATGACGAATCCATTCCTAATCATGACGCTGTCAAACTTTTCGTGCCTTTGTTTAGGAGCTTTCTTCAAACCGTATAAGGACTTAACTAGTTTGCAAACTTTGTTTTCTTGTCCTTTCACTATGAAACCTTCTGGCTGTTCCATATATACTTCTTCGTTTAAATCACCATTCAGGAATGCAGTCTTAACATCCATTTGATGTATTTGTAAGTTGTACAAGGCTGCAGTAGCAATTAAAACCCGAATAGAAGTAATTCTTGTTAATGGAGAATATGTGTCAAAGAAATCAATTCCTTCTTTCTGACGATATCCTTTTGTAACCAGTCGAGCCTTGTATTTGTCTATTGAACCATCAGATCTTAACTTTCTTTTAAAGATCCATTTGCATCCTATTGGTTTAGTTCCCTTAGGAAGATCAACCAATTGCCAAGTATTATTATTCATAATAGATTCAATTTCACTATTTATAGCTTCCTTCCAGAATACGGATTCTGGACTAGTCACAGCTTCTTTAAATGTTTGGGGCTCTTTCTCAATTACGAAAGAAATAAAGTCTGGACCAAAGGATTTAGCGACCTTTGCTCTTTTACTCCTTCTTGATTCTGGTTCTATATTGTTTTCAATAGCATTATCTCGTGTTCTCTTTAGAGTATTCTCACGAGTATCTCTTTTATTAGGGAACACATCTTCAAAGAATTCAGCATCTCGAGATTCAAAAATTGTATTGACATGAATGTCACTTATATCAGATTTATGCACAAGAAATCTGTACGCACTACTATTTATTGCATATCCGATAAAAATGCAATCAATAGTTTTAGGGCCTAACTTAATCCTTTTGGGAGGTGGAATAGCCACTTTAGCTAGGCACCCCCACACTTTTAAGTATTTATAGGAAGGCATTCTACCTTTCCATAACTCATAAGGTATTGAACCAGTTTTCTTATGGGGAACTCTATTCAGAATAAAGTTAGCAGTTAGCACTGCTTCCCCCCACAAGTTTTGTGGTAATCCAGAACTTATAAGCATAGCATTAATCATGTCTTTTAAAGTTCTATTTTTCCTCTCAGCAATCCCATTTTGCTGCAAAGTATACGGGGCTGTTGTTTGGTGAATAATATCAAACTTAGCACATAATTCATCAAACATGGACGAATCATATTCACCACCTCTATCAGATCTTAATACCTTAATTGTTTTTC